AATAGAAAATAAAATTAAAATAAGTTTATAGCCAAAATAATTAAAGCCCGTACACTACATCAGATTTTAATCAGATTGGATGATGTCATACTGATAGAACCCTTGATGGGTCACTACCCATTACACAAAGAAGGTGCTTCCTGATTGGCCATTGAGAGCCAATCTCTCTCAGTTAACCAAAGAAAATCAGGCACAAAGTTTGAAAAAGTCTGTATCTGAAAAATTACTGTAGCAACACAAAATACATTTTGTTGTGTAACCATGACTACCAGATTAATTTTACTATGGAATATATATTTGGTGAAAAATGTAAATATGTATGATATATATAACATGATAGTTTTGTTTTAGATTCCTTTCAAAAATCACCATGACATTTATTGGTGCTTTTTTATGAATTTTGCTATTTTTATTTATTCTTTTTGATAGTTTGTGTAACTTGACAACTATGAATCATGACATTTTTAAGAAGTAAAAAAACTTGAAATGGGTCAAGGTCAAGAGTGGAGCCATGAAAAGTTTTTTTTTTTGCATGAATTTTGGATTTGTAAAGATTACATTTGCATGTATAAACAATATGTTACTTTTTGACATTTTTAGAATCCATTAAACATCAGATCATGTATACAGAGTTGTGACATTTTCTTAGATTTTATGAATACTATGTGTTATACATGTCTTTATAAATCTCAAATAAATTTGATACTTCATTAAGAATACATAATAAAGCGGGGAGTCATCACCTACGCATGTGTCAGATGGCCATAGCGTGTCTTTGTTTACAAACAAGTGTCTACCCATGAGCCTTTGTGTTTTACCGCGTGTTGTTATCATCACTTGGAACTCAATTCTCCCGCAGGCGCAGGTGACGACCCTCTCACTTTAATATAAACCAAGTATTGTAATTGTTGTATACAACTCAGTTTGACTAAAAACTTAACTCAATCATGTATTTTAGTAAATGTCACCAAGAGAGCAAATTTTTTTTGCCTATAGTAACATAAATTGATGAAAACTGCATCACCTTTACACCCACTGAAATAACAAAAATGGTTATGAAATTGGGTCAAATTTGCCTAGAATTTGGTAACTAAATGAAATTCCAACTAGAAAGTGAAGTTGTCGTCATTACTCAACCTGATTTTGATCAGACTATCACTTCTTTATGAGATATTCACTGAACTTTTAGAGCAAGGATTTTATTTGTGGTAAATTTGTATGATACTTTTTATATATTACATATTTCATATTATTCTATTTCTTCTTATAAATAAACTTTTATATCCATAAAAATATGACTATTTGTTTTATTACATGGATGATAATTGTGGCTTCTCAGTTACCACTAAATAATTATTCATATGCCATTTATACAAGTATCCAAAAATACTTGTTGAACGCCTAAGTCAACTTTAAATCATTGTTCAAAAAATAAAAAATAAAGCTTCAATATATTTTTTTGGAAATTATGTGTGTTTGTTTAAAATTACCGGGTAACAACTAAATTGCACAAATATTTAAGGTAGCAAGAAGGGAAATTTCCATTTTTTTCTTGATTTTTCAAAATTTTTAAAAATGGTTACTTTATCCCAGCTTTTCAAAAAATTGAAATTTTGGAAATACCATGCTCAAATTAGTGTTTTAAACACTAACACAAATTACTACTGCCTTTTTGTGGATATTTGCATAATGTTTATCTTTGGGACCGTTTAAATGATAACATCTTACCTGTATACTCTGTTGTTGACGATTCTGATATAACGGGTGATAAGCTTCCCGTCGCAAACAATGCGTGTTTATCTAACGTTCATTGTCAGCATTATTATCAGTCGAGACTTCCTCAGAGAAACAATGTGATAACTTTGTGCAACTTTCTTTCAAATCATTTTATTTTCAAAGTCATTATTCTATTTTACTAACACCATTTTACTACGCAACACTATGATGACAGAAAAATCTGCGATTCAGTGTCATATTATGACCAACCTCACAAGTGGTACGAAAGGCACGTGAAAAGTGTTTCCACTACTAAGCCGATGATAACACTGATACATCAGACAAGGAAGTGATTAAACAATCATCGTATTGGCAAATGTTATAGGAATAACGGAAGCTTCATCTGTCATGTGCCAATAGGTGATTTTCCGTACAATTGCGAGATCTCGCGAGATGCATGAAAGACGCGCGTCGAACGTCTGCCGCAAAAATCGAACGATTTGATTTTGAACTCGAATTTCCTTATTTCGTAGCTCACACCGACCGGCCGATCTTCGACAGAGGAATATTGCTTCCGAATACCCTTACTTAATCGAAATTGCCTATTATCAAATGTGGACAGCA